GGGCATAAGGACACATATGTAATGCCTTAATCAGTAAAGAAAAAAACATATCTTCAGGTGAGGGTTTAAAAAGAAATCAATGACCTAGCCAGTTTGGCTCAGTGGAGAGAGCATCAGGGTCCCAGTAGGAGGCGTGCAGGAGGCAGCCGATCAGTGATTCTCATCATTGATGTTTCTGTCTCTCTCCCCCCTCCCTGCCTCTCTGAAATCAATAAAGAAATATATTTTTAAAAAGAGACATAATAACAAATGCAAGAGGAGGGTCTTGTTTGGGTCCTGATGTAAACAAACAAAAGTTTAAAGTATGAGACAGGAAAATCTGAACTTTGGATCTTTAAAAAAATCAATATTAAAACAATGTGGCAGTCATGTGGGAATATCAGAAGATGTCATTATTTGATCTGTAAGGGAAATATAATTTCTAACATTTACATAGTAACCTTTTGACTTCAAGTGCATTTATAAAGTTCTTGTTGCCTTTGCAAGTTTTTTTCACATTTTATTTGAGGATGGGATGGGGTAAAGGAGACTTTTCCTATATCTCTTTCCTATATTGCTTTGTGCAATTTATCCTGAACTAGGAAGGCAGGCCCACCAGGAGTCTTCAGGATCAGATTAATTTCACATAATTTTCACAAAAATCTTAGTCCTTAAATCTAGGGCAGCAACTCTGACTACAGTATATTTCACTTAACCCTGTACCTGTTCCAACTCCCAAAATGGACTCATTATGTCTGACTCCTATGGAGAAGAGGGGTAGTGGGACTAAAAACCAAAAGGGGCTGTTTTGCTAAGAACTGCAAAACACTGACCCAGGTATTCCTAGGACAATTCCCACCTGTGTTAAATGTCATTATAAAGGAGACTGAGGCTTCAGAAAACAGAGTGGGGAGTTCAACCCACTGGGGACTCCAGGTAACTCAGTGGGGATTTGGCACTCAGCTCCAGTGCCCCATCGGCAGTGGGGCCAGCAGACAGCAAAGGACCCAGCAGACTTGGCAGCACCCAAGGGAGACAGGGGTGGAGCTCACTGGCACAGGACTGGCATGGAAACTCCTACCTCCCTGCCTGTTGCACTTGTTCTGGATCAGGGGTTGAGTCATGCCAGGGCCCTCCCTCAAATTACTATGTTCTGTGGTGGGTTGGGGTCCTACACAGCTGGGAATATGAGCCCACCAGGCACAACTCCTTTCTTCTCCACAGATGCCCTTTGA